TTATAGGGCATAAGGACTGTTAGAATAGGACCTTCATTAACAACTTATTATACAGCTACAAATGACGAGTTTTGTAGAATTCACCTTTTTTTAGAATATTTTCGGCAGAATCCATTCCATTTTCCATCGTTAATGGAGAATTTATTTGGGATGTTGAACTAAAATGCTGCCTTTCATATACTCTAGCACCTTCTCATAACAACACCTCAACTCTAAACCGCCCTGTAGCCAAATTAAGTTCCGTTTGTAAAAGATTTCAAATTTTCTTAAAAGAGAAACCATGCCCCCATGTATAGACTGTAAATTTCAAAAACACTCTAGCGTTTTTTGTATTATCATGGATCTTCTAATTTAATCAATCATTATTTCAATTGTGCACTATAATGAAGCCTTGGCTACAAATGAGATATATGCTAGGTAAAATCTAGATCGGGTCAAGGTGAATTCGGACGTCAAGGCGGGTTTTTGTAATATGATGGCAACGTCGTTTTAATTGGATGCAGGCAAACTGGACTAATACCATTTCGGACTCTTTATTTCCCCTTTAAACCTGAAAGTCTGAGGATGGGATGACTATTTTATTCTGAAAGTCGATGCACACCTTGTTGGAGGATCCAATTGGCTATTTTTCTGAATCTCCAAATGTCCCTGAGATGCGTGCCTTTCATAATCAAATAAAAATATGTCACAACTTCGGGGTTGAAAAGAGCTAGCCAGCCGGCCATTTAACCAGCTTGCTGCCAGACAGGATAACTCGACAACTCGGCAATAAAGCTCTATTGTGCAGCGAAAACCCCGATAAAAAGCAGAGACAAATATTTTGTCTCTCACTATTCTCATTCTTGTACGTGTGTCTGCTACAAGTCTGGACAGGCCCTAGAGGACCCTGTTTATCACACCACATGATTTCGATACCGATCACACAGCCTACCTCCAACCCCCTTCGCCAATGTCATTGTGTTAGCTGAGCTCAAGCTGGCAAATGTGAGTACGCAAGTTGATTAACTTGCGTGTGTGTGTAAATATACACGTGTTTTTACAATGCCTTTTTATAATTGTTTGCAGGCTTTTTACTCAACTCGTTCAGTCAGTCAGCCGGCCATCACCTGTCCGTCCGCCTGGTAGCATGAAAGACTTATAAGTGCGGGTTCTGAGAGGTGCGAAGAGCCTTAGTTGGCCGTATCGAGGAAAACTGTGGCAGAAGCATAGCTACAGTTACATACATTGTTAAGCGTATACTTTGGAAGAGCAAGGGGCATTATCTCGGGCTACTCGGCTGAACGCATTAGGCTTGATGAGAGAGCCAAAATGAACCGAGTTTAGGTCCAGAGTCGGCGTGCATCTTTCCATGCATCGGTTTAATTTTATCTATCTGCACATAAACAGGTACTCAAGTGTCCGCGACTTTCAGTGTCCGTGTGTCTGCGATCGTAAGGAAATAGTCATGGGCCAAAGGTGTGGGAGGAGAGTAGGGTAAGGTAGCTAGTGGTGGATAGCGAACAATCAAAAAATGTCCACTTCCCTCTCTGTTGTCGTGCCACCAGTGTAAACGAGTCAGACGGACGCCTCAGCGCCCTCACCCCACCCCACCCCCGGCCTGCTAGACAAGGGGACAGTATAAATGAATTCTTTGAGTAAGTGATACTACAAAGAGAGTGGTGAGGACAATGTGTGCTCGTCTGTGTATCTGTGTGTTTCCATGCTAGTCCTTGAGTAGGAGAGAAAGAACTAAAGAATAGAATGAAGCACAAAGCCGCTTTCAATCTATGCTAAAGCTGTCGAGACCTTTAGCTCTCTACAGGCTATGCAGAGCGGTCTTGTCTGTATGATGCTTTTTTCACCCAGCACATTGCCAACCTTCAGAATCTCATGCATGAGTCTAGGTTACCCCCGTTTCTATTGTCAGCCTGTCAAGTCCTTTGCCTGCATTTCTGACACCCAATTTCTATCTCTTCCTTTTCACATATACTACTTGCTCCCCTTGGCCCAACACCCGATCACTCTTTTCTCTTCTCCCATGCCCACAGACAATACTCCAATCTGAACCTGGCAATGCTTGATTGCTTCACCATGCCTACGATCTGGTGGCTGCCCGGTTGAGTTGTCGAGCTAGGTATTACAGAGCTATCACTTGTTAAGGCAGCATATGCACATTTCAGCATACGTGCTCACACATCCAACCCAAGTCCTGGTTACAAGCTATGCACATCTCGAGTGGGAGAATACGTTTAACTAGTTTTGTGAGCAGCAAACTATGCTGATAACTATGGCAATGGTACGAGAAAAATCATTGGACAAATTAGCCGGATGAGCAGTAGATTAAGCAAGTAAAAAGATAGTATTAAATTAAAAAATATTCTTCTGCCCATGTAAAAGCATACTGGCGTGCTTGTATACACTAGTGTGCTTAGAAGGGGTATAGGATGTTTGATATGAAAAGTGTGACCGGGACATAAAATCTCAAGTTGCCTCCATAAAATCCATTATGCAGTATATATATACACTCTATCGTCACTGGGTTGGCTAATTTAGAGCAGTGTTGTAGTGTGCTGGGCTATTAAGATGAGACCCGGGAGGTGAAAGTGGACGAAAAGCATTCAAGAATAATCTGCCAAATAATACTCACTTCCTGTGCCAGACGTCAGCGGCAAACAAATGTGCATATTGAGATTCTCCTACATGATTACCCATGAGCACATACAGGACCAGGACTGTGGCCCACAGGAATAGACAATTTTCATCTTCTCAAGCCTTCTATCGTCTCTTTAACTTTCTCCTGATATAAAAAAGTATGCATCTTCTTCAAATATGCATACAGGAAAACAACCAGTTTACTTTGGCCAAGCTTTTAAATCCCTCACTTTTTGGTCGCTAAGCTAAGATATGCATATTCCACTCAGCTAATGACAAAAAAGGGACCCAAGCCTGTCGACACCATATTGTCCAGCCAAAATTAATAAGTAAAGAAGTTTCGCATGACAACTTGCCACAGGAAAGGTAAGTTGTTCTGAACAATAGTGATTCACTGAGGTTTTTAACGGTAGCTGCAGTGCGGATTTCTTCAGTGGGCTTAATGTATTGCTCGGCCTAAGACTTTCCTTCCAAGCAGGAGGTTAGAGTGAGCATCAGGGACATCAGAGTATTTAGGGGGCAATTACAGCCGTGCCAAAAGGTGTATATCTCAAGAAACTCGAGCAATTGCCCAAAATGAGCCTTAGCTACTAATTTAATAGGTCCCTCTATTTATAGCTCAGCCGTCCACGTGGACATGCGAGAAAAATCAGTTTATGCAAGCCGCAGAATTTCCCGTTTGATTCCATTTCCTTGCAGAGGAGACGTAAAATATCTGCAGATAGTAAAGCATGAAGGGGGCAGTGAATTGAGTGATAAAGATAGCAACTACACCCATGGAGGTTCGGATGGAGGACTCGTGCTTGCACCGAAATTTCCTTTGCCAAACATCCAAAAAACTCATTCTCATTGATCCTGGATTTCTATTATTCGCCCCACCTTGGTTACATGATGAACCGTGTATGCACAGATGCAGAGGCGAGATGGCTCTAACCCACGTGCCCACAGTTCGAAGCGTGAGGGTACTATTTGCAAGACTAAGGCGAATTGGAAGTGGTGTAAATTTAATTCCATAGAGAAACCGTAGCTTCAATTCATTGTAACTAGAATTACTACCATTTTCAGTAAAGCCATTCAATAAATGGTAAATCTTGTCGAAATTTTGAATCATGTTGGAAGAGGTCACCTGAGTACTTGGGAGTAGTTTGAAGCATTTGCGCAATGTTCTTCGGTGATCTTGAGACTACACTCAATTCAGAATGTACACTTTCTATGTCTCCTACACCTGGTGATACCTTTTGTGAGGGCGAATGTGACAATCAGGCTTTTTTCTGTTGATACTATACGTTTTATTATTCATACTAAGTAGGTTTCGAAACTATCAGTAGTTCTTGACTAAAAGTTTTGTCATCGCAGGTCGCACAAAATGATGGAGGACTGAAAGTTGAATTTTATCACATTGATATTAGTGTGCTTCACGATGCAAATGAATTTCACTTGGCCAAAGTGACCTCGCCTGGGTCTCATCAGCACCCCAATGGGATTTATAACCAATCAACTAAGTCGCATAACAATGGTACGCACATACATTTCAAAAGTTGGCAATGACTATCAAGAATATGATCTGCAATTTAGAAGAGAGGGAGAAAGAGGTACATCTATCAAACGTTATTTTTCCTGGAAAACTATGAAAATAGGCCTTTTTTATGCGTACAAAAGTAAAACTGGGATTCACTTTGTCTGTAGAATGGGACGAAAAAAAATGCGAAATGCCAATACAAAATGACGTGGGCGCAATTTAAAAATTTTGGAAGGGCTTATTGGAAAATCTGGTATGTTTAGTCTTACAATTCTCTTTAAAGGTATCTCCTTCCAGCCAAGACATAATAAACAGACAAACGCCTACGACATCCTCACGCTGCGGATTCGCGCGAATAGCCACTCTGAGACTGTACTTTCATGAGTAGCCCAATCGTGAAAATATCATGACCAATGTAATAAATAAATGACCTACGCTGCAGCTAAACCGTGTGCGGGATAGTTGCAAGGTCTTCATTTCGTGTGGACTCGTATCAACGGTAATTGTACAAGTAACTCGAATCTAAACTGCTTATGACTGCATAAGAGGCGAGATATAATCCGGTATGGGCTCATCTTTTATCCTGACCAATTCATTTAAAGCTTTTGGCCTGTGCCCATTTACGCTAACTTATCGTAACAATAATTCTGCTTGACGAAGGCATAACTAGGTATTTGTTGAGTTTCCCCTCTGCCTTGTTCGCCAGCATTCCCACTATTTTCATACGACTCTGCCTCTCCTCCCACTCATTCTTCCCTCCCGGTCTTGTAGTCGAACCCTTTCATCACCCTGCCTAATTGTATCCGCATGTAAAGCTTGCAGGATGCTGTCATCCTGGTGCTGCTTAGCTATGCGCAACCTCGACCATTCAATAATCATAGAGACCTGTTTTGCGCTCACGATTGAAAGAAGGCGTACAACCGAACACATCTCCTCGCACGCTCAAGCCTCCACCGGCTGCAGGCGCAAATACACACTCAAACGCGCACACATAATGTCTGAGCAAATTTATTCGTGTTTTCTGCCGCTCATACCCACGGTCATGGGAGCAAAGGCACACCCCTGCATGCAGACAGGGAAATGCGTACTCAAAAGCGAGCATGGCAGGAAGCAGGGGTTTCTCATATTTCCTGTTCGTTGGACGTCCCATGCTTAGATTGACAACTGGTCTTATTGCGCGAACCCAACTGTTTCGAACTTAATTTCCTCTACAGACAATCCCTTACCAGTGCTAGCGTGAACTTTAAAAGAAGACTAGAATGGGGGTGCATCAGGCATGACGGACGAAATGGAGGGTGGCGGAAACGAGCCGGGAATTTTCGACAGAATGCCGTAGCATCCCGAAAACAACTCGTTCCAGACTAGAAAGTTTTAGTACGTCCCTCCTAGTCATGGTGATAAATGAAATAGAGATGAAAGCCGGTTTGCCTTAATGTATGCAGCCAGGGCGCTAGTGCCAGAACTATTGGATTACAAGATTTCATTAAATTCCTTAAATAATTTTAACACCAAAATATTTAGTGCTATAAGCGTTTATGCTATATTTTCCTACTTATTGCACAAAAATGCTAAATGGGATTCGAAGAATAAATTAAGTCCAAGAAGCACACATTTTCAAGTGTGGCACATTCCTCTTAAGTGGAGAATTTTTCATTTCAA